CAGTAAGCAAATCAAAACTAAGCTAGATGATGAGCATGGAGTTTGTTGGCCATGTCAGAGATGGCGATTTGTTGGAGTTGTTCTAGTACAATGCTGTATAGAGTTGCTTGATCAACACTTAGGGTTTTCTAATTTCACTATATATGCTTCGAGTTGTTTATATATGTACAATGACTATTATAACCCTATAAGCGGCTTTGTGTTTTAAAGTTCAAATGAGCTAGAATTGCTTTGCATTTTCTATATTGTATACATATATTTATTATGTAACACCCCAATTTTTCATACTTTATATAAATAATATTTTTCAAATTATTTTGACATTTAATATAGTTATTTTAGAATTTTGATATTATTTAATTAAGAAGTAGAGGGAGGTTGTCCCTTAGAGAGGCCTAGGTTGTCTGACTTTTGGGCTAGTCCCACACTTGCTTGGATGTGGAACTTCAGAAGATCTCGTGTAGAGGGAGGTCCTTTGGCTTCTTCTCTCATGAAGGTGTTGCCAATCCATATCCTGAGTCTTTCCGAAGAAGTAGGAATGGGTAAGCACATCATGCTCGCACCGTGCTGCAAAACGTACCAAATAATTGTATCCTAGATTCTGGTGTGATGCATCACATCACTAACGACCTAGACAACCATACATCTCACCAATTCTTACCTTGGAAAAGATCAAGTCATTGTTGGTGACGGTAATGCTCTTCCTATAACCCACACTGGCACCACTATTTTACACACCACCTCACACCCCACTTCAATTACAAACAATTTTACATGTTCTCTTCATTGCACAAAAATTGTTATCTGTTTCATCCCTGTGCAAAACTAATCATGTGTTGGTTGAATTTTTTTTTTTTTGACCATGTTTTGGTGAAGGATCGAAAGACAAGGGTGCCTCTCCTCAAAGGACTTCATAATTATGGACTCTATCACATACCATCATCCACCATCAAACCAACAACCCTCTTCTCTACCTCTTCATCTCATTCTCCATGGCACACATCCTTGGTCATCCATCTGAACACATTTTCTATCATTTGATCCCTCTGCATAAAATAAAAGCACGACCTACTATCTCATGTGTCTCATGTAGCATATCCAAAAGCTACAAGATTTTTTTCTTGAGTTCGAGTTTGCACAGTGTAGGCACCTAATTTCGTCCGGGGCAAACAAACAAGGAAACCCTTCTTTTTGCGAAAACCACTAATCCATGGAGGGTCCCGCTTGGGATTAACATGGATTGGTGAGAGTCATTTAAACAAAATTGTTAGCTCGATGAGGTCTCAGTTTGAGAATAAGTCGTTCTAACAATCCATCATTTTTCCAAACTTTAAAAAGAGTCCAACCATCGTCGCGAATGCCAGTGTCCGTTTCGGCGGGTGGCGACAGTAAGCAAATCAAAACTAAGCTAGATGATGAGCATGGAGTTTGTTGGCCATGTCAGAGATGGCGATTTGTTGGAGTTGTTCTAGTACAATGCTGTATAGAGTTGCTTGATCAACACTTAGGGTTTTCTAATTTCACTATATATGCTTCGAGTTGTTTATATATGTACAATGACTATTATAACCCTATAAGCGGCTTTGTGTTTTAAAGTTCAAATGAGCTAGAATTGCTTTGCATTTTCTATATTGTATACATATATTTATTATGTAACACCCCAATTTTTCATACTTTATATAAATAATATTTTTCAAATTATTTTGACATTTAATATAGTTATTTTAGAATTTTGATATTATTTAATTAATTATATGAGCTCTATTTTAATTATAAGACATGATTCGTAATTATATTTTCTTTAATTAGTAGAGTAAGAGTTATTTTTATGAAATGTATTTTATTATTAATAATTATTTTTAAGTTATCTTATAAAAGGGAGAAGGCGTGTTTAATAATAATAATAATATTATTATTATTTTTATTGTTATTATTATTATTATTATTATTTATGAGAAGGGGAGGAAGGGCGTGTTATTCTTTTGATTATTATTATTATTATTATTACTTGTTTATTTTATCAAAAAAAGTTATAAGTTATTAGTTTTTTATTTACTCATTTTACGCTCTCACTTCTCATTCCTTATTACGTTCTCTCTACTTTGTGCTCTAAAGAACAAGAAGAACTAGAAGAGGAACAACCAAACTCTACTCGTGCTTCGTCTTCCAATTATCAGGGGTGTGGGAATAACTATTGGGTAACAGGATTGACCCTCAATCCCTTGCCTAATAGGAATAGACACTTTATGAAAGTTTTTTGTTTTGTTTTTTGATTGTTCTGTTACGTTCCTTGTGTGATTCTGAGTGTGAATATGCGTTCAATTCCAAGAATAGATAGAGAGAAATTTCGAGCTCTAAGGAGTGTTGGACGAAATTTCGGAGCCCGGAGAAATGAGCCCAAGCTGCTTATTTATAGCTTTCAAAAGGGGTCTAGAAAGGCCCGTTACAAAATCGGAACGGCCCGTTCTGGATCTGGACGTTACGTGTTAATTTAGTGTATTGGAACGACCCGTTCTAAAATCGGAACGGCCCGTTCTAGAGGCGCGTTTAACACATAATTTCCATTCTGGAACGGCCCGTTCCAAATTTAAGAATTCAAGCCTTTTTTGTTACTTGGAACGGCCCGTTCCAATTTGGGAACGGTCCGTTCCGAATGTAGCTTTTATCCTTTTTTAAAGAGCCTGGAACGGGCCGTTCCAATTTTGGAACAGCTCGTTCCAATTTAGGGTTGTAGGCTCTTTTTGTAAATTGGAACGGCCCATTCCAGTTTTGAAACAGCCCGTTCCGGGCTTCTAAAATCAGCTTGTCTGGGCTTTTGGGCCCTCTAAAGTCCTGTCCCGTTGTTTGCATGCCCCCGGACGAAATTGAGTGACTATAGATATAATTGAGATAAACTACCAAGGTCGATTCTTAGTTACTTTGTTCAAATGTATGTGGGCCAATACAACTACTTCTAGAGGGATTGTGAAAGATGACTTAGGATTTACATTAGTAAGTTTTGTACATTTGATACATACGGGTGATAACGAAGACGATGAGCCATATATTCAGGTTTCAGAAGCTCAAGCTGTTTACTATGTAGAGGATGAGTTAGATAAAAATTGGAGCATACCTGTTCATGTAAAGCCACGAGACTTATATGACATGGGTGGAGAAGATGGTGATACTTTTCATGAATGTGAGCCTTTTGTGCAACAAAATTTTGAAATATTATTTCGGGATGGGGAAGGGAATATTCCATTAACAAGGTCTAAATTTAGTTTTTATTTTATATACTAATTGTCTTTTAATATCATTTTTATTATTTGTGTTATATATTTACTATTATATATTAATATATTAATTTGGTAATTTGACTTATATTAATGTTATTGGTTTTAGAATACCTGAAGATGAAGGAAACTTCCATCAAGAAGACCAGTGAAGCACACACGAACCAAAGTGGCTCTTTTGGCCATGTTTCAGCCACTCCCCACAATAGAAATAGTCAACCTTCATCTTCACATCATTCATCTCATCCTAGTACGTATTAAAAATACAATGTCTCCTTACTATTATTTAAAATTGCACAAGACAACACCTTTCTAATGAATATAATATGTTTGATGTTAGAAACCTTGAAGATGAAATTTGCAATCTCAACAAAGTCTAAATCATTACCTCAGCAACCTTGTAAGATATTTCCACTTTCATATCAATTTAGACTTATTTTACTTGCATTAATTATTTTGTCTTATTTTACTTGTATTGATCAACTTGATTTACAGCACCTCAAGTGAATACTCATATTCCATCTCAATCTAGTAAGATGCATCAACTTCAATCTAATACAATACCTCCTTCATCTCAACCTAGTAAGATGCCTCAACTTTCATTTCAATTTGGAACTCATCCATCAATTGTATTTGTTGTAAGGACTATTTCTTATTTCACTTGTATTACTCAATTATTTTCTAGGATATATGAAGAGGACATTTTCCACCAGCAACAATAACTTTGCACCTCAACTAAATATTCAACCTCCACTTGAATCTCAATTTGATTCTCAACCCCAACCAGCACTTCAGTCTAATACAATACCTCTTCAATCTCAACCTAGTAAGATTCCTTAACTTTCACTTCAATTTGGAACTCATCCATCAATTGCATTAGTTGTATGGACTTTATTTCTTATTTCATTTGTATTACTCTAATTATTTTCTAGGATATTTGAAGGAGAGGACATTTTCCACCATCAACAATAACTCTGCACCTCAACTAAATATTCAACCTCCACGTGAATCTCAATTTGATTCTCAACCTACACATGATTTTGTATATGAATCTACACCTGTAGCTACACTTGAGTTACAATATGATAGTGAAGAGGAAGAAAATGAGGAAATTGGCATGCAAGCAAAGCAATCAAAGGTTGTATCACATAAGAGATCATGGCTTGTTGATGTGATAGGTAAGCTTGAATTAATATTATTTAAATTATATATATGTATATAAAAAAAATTATTCCTTATACAAAAGATCAAGTTTTGTTAACTTGATATGTTAGATTTAATTTACTAGTATATGATTAAATTAAATTCTTATCTGTCATGTTTGTGTGATACTCTAACAGATGATTAGGGCAGTAAAAGTAAAAAACAATTAACTGTCAATGATGTTTGGTATTTACCTCCTACTGAAAAGATTGTTGTGAATTGGAATAGTGAGGACCAACCGATTGACAATGCTGGAGCATTGTTGAATAGGTTTTTAGGTCGAGTTGCAAGAAATGTCAATATATTTCCTATTTGCTATCAAAGATGGAGAAAGATTCCAAAAGACTACAAAGAAAATGCTCTTAGGCACACCATTGAAGTAAGTGATGTATGCATTTCATTTATTTGTGATTTCAAATATATTCAATTTATTGTTAACTTTAATTATTTAATAATTTGAAGGCTAAGTTTGAAATTCCCTCTGAAGCTCATGCACAATATGTCTTCAAACCACTTAACATAAAATGGAGTGACTATAGGAAACAATTATGGAACCAAAGGAATGATGGAACACGTACAAGAGATGAATTGATTGCAATGGTTCCAGAAGGAATAAATATAGACCATTGGGCTTCTTATGTTGACTATCGTATAACTTCAAAAATGAAGGTACTATAAACTATTTTTTTATCCTTTATATTTATGTACTTGAATTTGTTAATTTTTTTTTATCGTAAATAGGAAATTTCCCAAAAAAAATAAGGATAATAGGAAGAGGCAAACATTTCCTCACACTGGTGGATCCAAGAGCATTGCAAGAAAGAGACATGAGATGGTAACTTAAAAATTTCGATAATATAATTATATTTTTTCATCTAACATATATACTAATATAATTTTGTTACATTTTATAGGAACAAGAATGTGGTTGTAAAGTTAGTAGGGGAGAAGTATGGATAACAACACATAAACATGCTAATGGAGAATTTGTGAATGATGAAGCAAGAGAAATTAGTGTAAGTTCATTTTTGGCAAATATTAGTGCTTAAACAAGTATTTGTCAACTTATATTATTACTTATATTGTAGGAAAAAATTAAAGCATATGAATCAAATGCACCATCATTCACAAGACATATCAACTCAAGATTCCCTAGCACATGCTTTAGGAAGTCAAGAACATTGTGGACATGTTGAGTGGATGGGATTGGGCCCTTGTTCATCTCGTTTGTTTGGATACACTAGACATTCACATAATGGGATGGCTTCATCTTCTTCTTATAGACAATTACAAAATGAGGTTAGTATGTTTTTATTTTTCTTTATTTGCTATTAATTTTTTTGGGACTAAATTAATTCAGTGATTGGGACTGAATTGGTGATGCTAATGCTAGTTCAATTTCCATTAAAAATTTTCAATTTCAACCCTCATTCACATTCTTATTTATATTTTCCCCTTTTATATTTTGTTATTTTTTATATCCATCCCTTAATTATAGAAAATAATGAAAATTGAATTTATCAACTAATACGTGTGTATTTGTAAACGACATAATTAATTGTTATTAATTCCTTGTGATTTTTTATTTTTATTGGTTTAACTAAATTAAATTTTTGTTTCATAGGTCACTACTTTGAAATCACAATTGGGGGAGCAAAATCAAAAATTTGATGAACACAATAAAACTTTGAGGCAATGTTTAACTTTTTTGCGCAAAATTATCAAGGTCATTGCCTCCCAACTTGGCAATGTTTCAACATTCACTGGTAACTTTTAAAAGTCAAATAAATATTTTAATATATTTTGTTGTATAATTTTTTTGTTTTAAATTATGATTTACGTTTATATTTCAGGTTTCTGATCAAGGAAGTGTACCAACTAATGAAACAAATTATCAACATGGAGATGAGCATATTTGATAGTTGATGAAGAGGATATCAATTTAAAGAAGATTTATCCTTTATTTTCATAAATTTGATAGAACATATTATCATTGTACTAGTTTGTTTTGAGTAACATATTTTAGCATTTTATATTCACTATTTTCTAGGATTGACTATACAAGAGTCTTCAGAAACTTCTTCTAGTGTATACAAGTTTTTATACATTGTGATGTTATGTACTTTCTGTTTCATAATCAAACTAATATAAACTTGTGTTAGTTCTACTTCTATACTTTGTAATTTGCATCTTTGTTACTTGATTTATTTTATATAATTGTATAACAAAAAGGTCATTACGTAAAGAATATTCAGTATAATATTGAATTTTCAGTATAATTATTTTATATAATTACATAACAAATGTAAAGAATATCCGTCATAATATTGAATTTGTAAGTATAAGAAAGTATCCTTTTAAAAAAAAAAGATATTAACAAAAATTAGATAATCTAGAAAAATTTAGATTATATTAGCGGGGGTTATATAACTCCTAACACATTCCTGGGATTATATAACTCCCACTAATATATATGATTTAATGGGGGTTATAAATGCATGTTACTTAATGAGGGTTACATAAGTCTATTTAATTACTTGGGGTTAGAAACTCTTGTTAAGTAATAGGAGTTAGAATTCACAACTATATAAGTGGGGTTAGAAACCTTAGTTAATTACTGGGGTTAAAAATTGCAACTACTTAGTTGGGGTTTAAAACCTCCAGGAAATTCACAATTTCCGGGGGTTAATGAAAACCCCGACTAAAGACATTACCTACGGATGATTTACCGGGGGTTTTGATAACCCCTGGAAATGCGTTTAGCGGGGGTTATAACCTCAAATAAATTCAAAATTAACCCCCACTAAATCCCATTTTTTTTTTTGTAGTGAAACGACTGTCCAGGGAAGCATTGAAGCCCTCTTCACCGAACGATAGTGTAGTGGAGCCATTTTAGCTACGAATCTTAGTTTTGTCTTTTGCTTCTTTTTGCCTCTTCTACTAATGTACAAATGGGTGTTGATGGTGTAGGGTTTGGAGACACTCCCGGAAGAGCTTTCCTAAAATGTGGTGGTTGTATCGTGCGAGTACGTTGTTTGTCGTATTGTGCGGTGTAGGGTTTAGATGTTATGATGCTTTAAAAAATCAAGGACTTCTTCACGATGTTGTCAGGAAAGCGAAAGTGCAATGATTTGAATTCTCAATATAATGCTGGGGGATATATACCTCAACAAGATGGAGCTAGAGATGATGCATATGGAGCTTTTGGAATTTAGGTTTTGTTTTTTTATATTGGTCAGCATTCGTATACATCAGCAGGATGTTTGCATATCTTTTGTAAGTAATGTTGTAATGATGTTAGTAGTCTAATTTCTTGTGTTCATCATCATTGTTGTTTTCATTGTAAATGACTTTTGTAATTTTTGACTGAATGGGAATAAGGATATACTAGTTTTATAACTTATTTTGTTGGTTTTGGCACTTCCCTTTCCTGTCCTTATTTGTGGGGTGGAGTTGAGACATGATGACGGGACATGAGAGATGGTAAAAGCAAGTCTTGCCATCCCGGGAAAGTGTAAAGTGCTTTTCAGAGGTACTTTACTTCCCCAACTTTTCTCAAATGGGGGTCTCCATGGGTTGGGACAAGTTGGAGGGGGCAATTCTTGCCACATACACCTATATTCCATCTGTAAATTTGAAGAAAAAAAATGGTGCATAGGAATCTCTGAAGTTTGTAACATATTGCCATTTAGTTGAAGTTTACCATGAACATAAATGAATAATGATTTCTTCAACAACCACATCAAAACTATGAGGCCCACTTCAGAGTTTAACCCTAAAATGAAAGAAAAATTGACACTAACAATTTGTCACTTGTATGAATGTTTTAATACTAGTTCAAATCCTTCGAATGATCACATGCCTTTTTTGTTCTGTTCAATACAATTCTTCCTAAAGACTGATTTTTCACATTGATGCCTTTTGTTCTGTTCAATACAATTCGTTATTGTCCTTTTAAAGAATATAATAAGCATTCACTATATCATAATGACCTGCAGTATGGATATTATGTTCAGATAGATTTATTGAGAAGTTTAAATTGCTAGCTTCTTTCCCATCCTACACTTTATTGTTCTATTGGTTTTTTACAGTGCACATGCATGCCTAATTTCTATTTGTTAATTGATTGACATGCTTGGTTGATGTAAAATGTTTATCAAGTTGCTAAACTCTTGGAGATTAATCATTCAGGTAAATGGAGGGGAAATCTCCATTAATTCACATTCCACTATTTCCAAAGGAAAAATGCAAGCAAATTTGGAGAGTCGACTTTTAGGATTCCTCAACTTGACGGACCAATTCCATATGATGATTATGTGCTTTCTACTCCAAATGTGAGTAGTGATACTTGTCCTTAATTTCCTGCACTCATGAAACACATTTGAATAATCTCTCTCATTTTAGCTTCTCCATGGAACTATTTTTTTGTTGGTGCATAAGCTAATTTTAGTTTATGAAAAAAAAACTTATTTAGTTTTCTCTTATTTACTTTTCTTATTAAGTGTTTATGAAGAGGTTTATTTAGCTTATGGAAAAAAATCTTATTTAGTCTTATCTTATTTTCTTTACTTATAAGATTTTATGAAGTTGATCCAAAAGGAGCCTTTGTTTACTTCAATTCTAATTTCCTATTGTTTGTTGTAATTTTGTGAAAAATGCATACCACCCACTTTTAGTTCTTGGAAAATAGACCCTTCGACTTTCAATTTTGGAAATTAATAACCACATTCAATGTTAAAGGTTTCAATAACCATTTTGTTTGTATTTAATGAGTTCTCATTTATAACCTAAGCTATTCTTTTGTTGCAAAACTATAAAAGAAATGGACTATTAGGTGTGTCTGTTTAGAAGTAGATCTTTTTAGCAAGTTCTGAGTAGTGAGAAAAATCTTAGTTTTAAGTACTCCCATTTACATATGTTTTTGAATTCTTTAAGTGATTGCATTTTGAATTCAAGATGGATATTGTAATATAATTTGGAACCTAAATTAGTTGATTATGTAACAACGGGATGGATTTTCTATATCCTAACTTAAATCCACGCTTTTGGTACTTGAAAACTTAATTGATTGGATGGGCTAATATATAGTCGAAAAAAGAAGAAAATTCGAATGTAAAATTCTTGCTAACTATAGTTGCATATATTTTAGTGTTAACTGCATTATGCTTCATTTGACACTCCCCCCAACCAGATTTTACTTTCCATCATCTTACTGGATTTATTTCATCCTGTTGCAGATATATAATTATGGAGAAGTGTTCATCGGAGACTACAATATTTCCAATACACCAGCTCCTCCTGGTAAATTGAGAACGTGTTAATTATATTTTGAATATATTTGTCATTTATTATAAATTTTATCTGTAAGTTGCTAATTCATTCTTTTTCCTTTATTAATTTTTAGAAGTACCAGCAAGGACCCATGCTCTCGTGGCTCAGAATGAAGTGGGAAATGAGTATGATGATGATGATGATGATGATGACGAACCTCCGTTAAAACTGATGTAGATTTGTGTACAAATCTACATTGGTTGTTAGAAAAATTGATGTAGATTTGTACACAAATCTACATCGGTTGTTAGCAAAATCGATGTAGATTTTGCACAAATCTACATCGGTTTCAAAACCTATGTAGAAGTGTATGCATTTCTAAGTCGCCCAATTCTACATTGATTTTAGAACCAATGTAGATTACTTCACAGAACTGATGTAGATAATACATCATGTATTAGTGTTTGCCCAATAATGCTATAGAAACCAAGTTGACTTTGACGGAAGGAACATGCACCACATCACTTAAAGCCAATGTTTTACCAAATATGAGCTTTAGAAGAACTTTACCCTTACCTAGAATCGGAGTGGTCTTAGAATCACCAAGGTACAATTGCTCTTCTCCATCCCCCCACAATGATGTAGGAGGAAAAAGTATATTTTGCTTGCACATATATGGTGAGTAGCCTTAGACTCTACCATTCATTTGCTCACATTGGTCACAATATTTGCTTGAGAAACAACTGCAATAATAACATCATCCCATTCATCCATGTTAACCAATTAGCCTTATGAGAGTTTTCGTTTCTAGACACTCAAAATTGACACTAAGGTGCATGGTAACCTGACTTTCCATAGACAAAGCAATTGCCCTTTTTCTTAAAGGCGGGATTAGATTAGAAGCACAGGGTTAAGAGTTCTTAGAATGATTTTTTTTCTTTTGAAGTCATTGATCATACCTCTTTTATTTGGTTGATCCTACGCTTGGTCCAAGTTGCCCTTAGTTGCCAATGATTTAGCCTTTGTTGCAGCATACTCTTTACAACTTACATCTTCTATTATGATACGAGTGATTAGATTCGTGAGTGACATTTGTTAATGCCTATGCTTCAACTGTTGCTTGTAATTGGTCCAAGTTTTTGGTAACTTTTCAATGAGCAGCTCCAAAATGAACTTAACAAGGAGGGAGATATTTTCTAATTTGAGGTCCTAATTAGTTTATGATATTCATTTGTTTGCACTTTAATGTCTTTTTCTTTGTTCATTTCCTAGTGGTAGTAATTGCTAATGATCATGAAGCATTGTCTTATGGCGTCCTTAGTGGTGTACTTCATCATCAAAGAGTCTCCTATGTCTTTGGCTTTCTAGTATGAGCAACACACATCGAACATATCATTAGATAAAACATTGAGAATAGTATGAAGACAAACCTTATTAGCTTGAGACAAATCATACATTTTAAAAGCAACGCTAAAAGAGGTAGTGGAATTCGATTTCAAAGTAGTAAGAGCATAAGCAACTTCATGCATGTCTAGTATCGAATGGATGCGTTCCTACCATCGATGGAAATTTTGGCCAACAAAGATTTTGACTTTGAAAACATTTGGCAAGGTTTTGGCATATGTGATGGCTATTGTGCGAGGAGGGGTGACAACAACAAAGATGGCAAAAATGGTGGTATTAGAAGTGTCAACCATTATAAGTCCTTAAGATTGTTGGAGAAATGACAGATGCACAAGTAAAGGAACTTGAAGCATTAAACAATTTTGTTAGCAAAATTCTTCCTAAGGCGTGTAATGACACTAACCTTAAGGATGCAAGCCCATGATATAACAGGATTATGTCAATAAAGCTGAAGAGTAGAACTGATTAAAGTTTAAAGAAAATAGAGAACCCAAAGCAAAAGAGAGATTTCGAGTGAAGTTTGTAAAATAGCAAAGCATAAACCTTTATTTATAGGCACTAGGAGAAAATATGGATAACTTATCAAAAAATGACCGTTAGAGTATAAAGTATATTTTATCCTAAAAAGATTTGGTTAGGATAAGGATAATTGAAACGATTAAGATTTCATAGACTGGATCAACATTTAAAAACATAACTAAAAAATGGTCATATTTTAAATAAGTTTCATTTAAATAAAATAATTTATTCTAATTAAAAATATTTTTGGATCCCATAGTCGCACACACAAGAGTGAAAATTGATAAATTTACACTACAACAAGTCCATATGATGCCCTTTCTCATGTCTGCGAGCACATCACCACTTATTTGTCTCTTTAAAAGTGTAAAAAAATACTTTGATATATAAACACTCAAGGTTTACAAGTTCCAAACAATACAAACTTCTTTTAAAATACATGCACATACGTAACATTTTCCTCCGTGTGACCCTTTGGGCATGAAAAAAGTGAAGTATTTTGACTCCCAAGCCAAATCCATTTTTCTCTAGATTTTTGAAACCAAGGTTTCTTTCTGAAATAAAATGCCCTCATGTTTATGGTGAAGCTCCTGTAATTTAAGAAGACTAGTTGAATCCACATTCTCCAAAATTTTCTGTATGCAACGCAACTCTGCTTCCATCTTTTTTTTTTTTTGTTGGCAATTATATTTCCAAAAATCTCCTTATTAAAACTCTCGAGATTTTTCAGAAACATATTGGAGAGCCTTAACTACATTACGCTGACCATGTAGCCAAGCCTCAGACAAGTTTTGAATACCTTCTGCATACACCAGGTTACTTGAAAAAGGAATGGTGTTGAGCTTCTCTAGATGCCATATTATTAAAGCATCTCAGTAAAACAGGACAATATGGTCCGAATGCCGATGGACTAAATTAAATGTTCGATTGTTGTCTCCAAAAGAACACATTCTCCACCTAGCGATCGACCACTTAATTTATTTGTTCATTTATGAATAAAAAAAAATGCTATACTATAAAAAATATCTCAAATACGTATAAATAAATATTAAGAGAAAAATAGAAGCAACCATGACTTGACCAAAATATATACATATTTTTTTCACATTAATATTCTAAGACCTCATAATTATTTTTACCAAATATCAACTTGGACGCCGACGACACGATTCAACCAAAATATATGTTCATAATTGATAGAGATCGACAACCTATGCATGCAACAATTCAAGGCCACGTGGATAGTCAAGTTCAACTTCTCATGTTTATAATCTCCTTTTTCTTCTCCACAGACGGCAAATTATGATCTGCTAAATTAACATTAACTTCTACACAAAATCGTGTTTCCATTCTCTTCCTCTTCATGCTCTTCTATCCCATCCCAGTCAAGAATGGCTGGCAAATATTTTTTAGAACAAATTATTCCTCTTTTTAGTTAGTTAATTGTGTTTGTGTGGGGGAAGCGGTGAGGGAGAGAAAGAGGGTGGTACCCGAGTGAAATAAAGAGAATATTTAATTTATAATTTAAGAGAAATTAAGAAGCTACAAGGTCATAGATCTATCTATAATATTTCTAGCTAGGCATAACTTGAGAGATATGCATGAAATTAATGCGAAACCACTACTCTTGGCGAGGGCGTGTGAACCACAAAGAACTCAGGGCTCGGAGGCGATGGAAGTACTCAGATATGGCCAACAAACACCTCGCGGCTTGGCGTGTTGTTAGAAGTTGATGCAGACGGTGAATGGTTTGGTGCCTCAGATTATCAGCCTGTAACATTGTAAGTTATCAAAACACTTTCATCACTTTTCAAGTTTTGTTATTACTAAATTCTCACTCAATATTAATGGTAAGAAATATTTAAGATTAAGAAAAAGAAAGAGAATATACACTAAATTTTACTTTGTCTTTATTTCAATGGTAATGTTCGATAAGTTTATTAACTTTTATCATAATTACTTTTGAAGTCGTATTGATAATAATTTTTGTTTTATTGACATTATAAATTTGTTTTAATTTGTCATACATGATTATTAAGGGTATGTTTGAGAAAGTTTAATTTGAAAATTAGATTATTTTCATAATAAATTATTTGAATAATTGATTATTATTATAATCTATATTATATATAAAGAAAATATTTCTTTTAATAACTATTTTAGTCTTTATATTTGATAGACTGTTATATTTTTATTATTAAAAAATTAAAAATAATTTTTTTTTTATTTATCAAATTTAAGACTTGAACTCAAAATTTTGAAATTTGAAAACAAATCAATCATAGTACCAATTGAATGAACATATTTCATTATTTAATCTAATTTTTATTTTATTTTTAATAGAGGTATAAATTTCTTGATTCTACTAATTAATTATAATCAAAATAAAATTTTATTTATATAAGTTTGTTGATAAACAATTTTAAAATGTTTAATTTTGTTTAGATATAATTAGAAAAACAATTTTTATATAATAAATTAACTTAAAAGAAGAAAAAACTGTTAAGAGATAATCTTAAGCTTTAAATTTTCATATTCTTAATAAAAACTTATTTTTCATAAGAAAAGAGATTATTTACAAATTTAAGTTGTTGTTCCAAATATACAACTTATTCTACAAACAACTTTTGCTCTTTTTTTTTTTTTTAAAAAAAAAAAAAACTGAAATGTTGGATAAGGATTATAAGTTTTTTCAAACATACTATAAATCTGTTAATACAAGTACAAGTTGTATGATTTTGTTGATTATTGATTTTTCATTCTATGTATTAAATGCATTTGTTAGGAGTATTAATATACCTATTTAAGTATGCTATTTATTGTTTTGAATAAGCATTTAATACCTCTGTATATTTTATATAATAATTTTTATTAATATTATTTTACTTTGTTTAAAATAGAAAAATATAATTTTATTTTATGTAATAGACATCAATCTTCGAATTAGATTCCTTAGAATATAGTAAATTTTTTACACATTCACGCAGTCAGAGCTGGAGAATATAAGAGTTGACAGTATTAGATAAATATATAGGACATATATCAGTATATTAAATTAAAAAAAAAAACATATTTAAGCACATACGTGTTAAATATACGACCACATTTTTTGAAATAAAGTAAAGTTAAAATTATATCAGTGATTATAGTGACACCTAATGTAGCAATTAAAAGAACTATGAGCTACCTGGACTTTAGAAGCTAATGAAGTGATATAAAAATTAATTTGTGAGAAGCAAATGGGATACTAGAATAGTGCCTTCTGTTCTGAAATTGTAACAGCTAGGAAACTATCCCCACTGATTTATTAATTACTATGATAAAGTTTAGCTGTAGTCAAAATTTGAAGCATAGAAAAATATAGTACATAGAGAAATTTTAGCATATGGACAACATTGGATTGGGACCTAGCCTCTTTTATTAATAAAAGCAGCCAGTATAGATGGAAACATAAAGAGTCTGAATGTTATTTTTCAACGTTGTTACAGCATCTTAAAACATTAGATTAATTTCTGAGTCCAAAATGACAAAAGGAAGAATGATAATCAATTACTCACACTAAAACCTTGGACCGTCAAATTAAATTAGAGAATTTTCGAGTCAACTTTGTGGCTAATATTAGAGATTTATTAACTATTTTACACAAGTTGCCTCATGTTAATTATTTTAAAAGTTAAATTTTATTTAGTGTATAAATTATTTTTAATTTATGATTAAAGTTATTTCATTTTTATTTTTTTATTCTTTTGTTATGAATACTTATTATACAAATTATTTAAAGATGTCAAATATTAGACAGAGTACTTGACAACAAATGTTTTAGTCATACCCAAACAATAACAACAAATTGGTCAAATTTCGACAGGACTAGCTTTCAGACTATTTAATGGGAAAGGTTCCTTGCGATAAAATCCATATTATAATTATTATGATGATGTGTTGGCTACCTAAGGATTCTTCTGTAGTTTCTGTTGATATTGTTTTGATTGCTTACTTATCATAGATTCAAACGTATTCTTCGTAATCGATAAAAAAAAAAGAAAAAAAAAGTGTATTCTTCTGAAACTAGTAATTAAAATCAATTATTCATCATAAAAATTAAGCATAGTTGGTGAACCGACCTAGTTACCATGAACGTCATAAAGAAATTTATCACATCTTACCACTGCAGTCTTCTATTTCCACTTTTTCTTTTCTTTTTCTTTTTCTTTGTGTGAGTGCTTGTTGTTGAAAACTTGGGATCAAACATGTTCACACTAATAGGTAAATTACTTTTGGTAGATTAAATTATACCATGTAAGTGTAACTAGTACAATCTACTAAATGGTAAGAATTGGAGTAATATACAAGAAACTTTAAGTTTGAAATTTAATATATTATTGTAAAAGAATAAAAATTATATCATGTTTGTGGGGTTATATATATATATATATATATATATATATATATATATATATATATTATATATATATGAGATCATTTTTAAAATAATAATGTTAAGTATACTTTAAATAACTCAGCTTATGAATCGTTAATTAATGTAAAAACATTTGAAGTTCAAATAGAAGAGTATCTATCTTACCAAAAATAAACAAGCAAATCCTAAATATGATATATTTTATGTCAAGAAAAAAATACTTTTAATTTTATTTAGATTATAATTATGTGGGTGCGATTTTAGAAATAGCCAAAATGCAAATTATAGTGAGGGCTCTATGTTGTGTCTTCAAGTTGCGGTTACACCATGACATCATACAGGTATGGAATTCAAAACGTATCTTTCCACGAGGAACATATATCAATGAGGGACCACAAATTTCCTTAGACTCACGTGTATATGACCAATGGTACACTTGCTGATTAGTACTAACTTAGGTTTTGAATTTTAATTGCATTCATAAATATATATATATATATATCCTATCACATACACAGGATATCTTACAGGCCGTGCGGCCTAGCCTTTGCTATAGTACTTTTTTTAAGGTTACTAAATATAATTAAGTACAATAAACTTTATCCTATCATTTTGTGATGTATAATTCTTAGTGCTTAATCCTAATTAACAAGAACTAAAAGAGCGAATTGATTTTCCCAAAAATTTCTACCTAGACTACAAATCTATATATATATATATATGTGTGTGTACCAGCTTCAATAATTGGTTTCATATAATTGGACACACAAACACATAACAAATACATTAGGTAGAAAAATCTAATCACCAAAGTAACATCACTATTACATCATTCACATATATTTGCAAAATTTAAGATCAATTTAAAATTATTAATGATTCATTTAAATATATCAAAATTAATGTAATATATATTTTATAATGTTAAAAAATGAAAACCGATTAATTAATTTTTATTATTGTGGAGTTTTTACATAATGTATAGGTACTATATATATAATGATAAATTAAATAAAAAAAACTTTATATTTTATATAAATTTATTTATAATATAAGAATGAATGTTCCTCATTTTGCTATATCCCTCCTCATTCCATATTTATATTCCAAGTATGAAAACCAAATTAATTGAACTAAAAAGAACAAAACGTTTAGAAAATATTTAAGCATAGCTAACGCCATCCCCTTCCTTCCACCACCTAATATAATATCAAAATAAGAGTGGGATTTTATAATCTGTCTACAGATTCCATGTAACAACCTCATGAGTGAATGAGAAATGCATGTAAGTAGTTGTTCATCAAAGGGTTGGAGTAGGTTTCCCTACCCATTCAAAGAGGAACAAATTCTCGTTCTCACCTTACCCCCCACGAGATCAGTTACGAAGAGCTTTGTAAAAATGTCACGGGGGACCACAAAAACTAGTTAACCAAGATCACAAATCTTACCCAAATTAATCACCACCACAAAAATTCAACATGCATTGATGATCCAAGATTAGTTTTTCTACGTAGAGAAGGTTTATATGTGCACTTTCTTAAAAAGTTACTTGAAAATTGTGGATATAACTAGTCAAAGGCCGTAATGAATCAGTGATAGTCATATTATCGCAAACAAGATTAGTTTCTAACCAATAAATTAAAGAATAATTGTAATAGGACAAAAAAAAATGTAACATTCATACCTGTCTCACAAAACTTTCAAGAGTGGAGAGCTTGTTCATTGCCAGAGCCATTTGTCCCATGTAGTTGGTCATATTTGGAGAACACCACAAAGAGTCTGAAGTTATAGTTTCTGAGAGAGATTGGTTGAGAGCTTCAAGCCCTTGGGAAAGAGCCTCTTCTGCCTCTTGTGTAGATTGTTGCAACCCACATATCCCAAGTATTTGTTGCTCCGTAAGAGGCTCAATTTGACTTAGAATAATCTAAAATCAGCACACGTTAGTTAATCAAATGAAATTAATATATATGTATCCACCCAAAAAATAAAAATAAAAAAAAGGATTTAATTATATAATGATTAGGTCATTGTCTATAGGAGTTAGGTTCATTTTGTTCATATGTGTGTCACACAATGTTGTGGTCAATGAAGGGTTGTTTGGTGATTAACCTCACTACAAAGGAAAAAGGTGGCATGGAGAGAGGAACTTGATTTGCATCAACTAGAGAGGAAGAAGACAATGAGAGATTAAGACCCGTGCCACTTTCCTATACTCTTTCTTCCTTTCTTGGTTGGTCTCTGATTCCAACCAGAAATTGAAGTGAAAGCTATGGCGTAACGGGAATGAAACCTAACTCTACCCATTACCGGAAACCTTCATAATACCTTTAATTCCATTTTCATTCATGGCATTAAATTCATCGCCCACAATTTTATTTTTATTTTTTGGAAGAAGCCCCACCGACAAGTCAATGCACTTGTGTAATCATCTTCTTCCAAAGTTATCTAAAATTAGGAATGAGTCCAGGGAAGGCCAATTTTATTTTATTTTATTTATAAAAAATCATATGTGGACCCTGCTTTATTTATAACAATTTTTATGATAATATAACTAGGATAGACTAATATGATATTTCTTTTTTAATTGTTGGTGTTTTAGAATAAATTTATTTATTATTTTCAAAGTTTAAGATAATATAAATTATTTTTGAAAAAAAAATTATGCTCTTACCTGCTATTTAAATTTTAATTAATTTTTCATATTAATAACTAGTATGCATTTATTGCATTTCTTGGTTTATATGTAGAAAAGCTATTAAAAAGTAGTAAGGGTAGCATGTTGTTCATCAAAGTTTGTTCATTTTTGTCCATTCCCTAAATACATTTATATCAATCTATCCCTGTTTGCAATCCAAAACTTATTTTTTAATGAACAAAAAAGTATAAAAAAAAAAATACAATGAGGATGGAATTTCGAAAAATATAGATCAGCAGCTAGACCACATAAGCTAGAACTCTAGATCTATATATGTGGTGAAATGTACCATATAGTTGTTACAAAACATTGTGTGTGACATATGTAGGTATAGCATTTGAGTAATTAATCTAGATTGGGTTAAAATTATGTATACATACATACCTTGATGAGTTCAGATGGCTTGAAGCCACCGATCCACATGAAGCAACGTTCAGCTGGGGTCTTCCACATGCCAAAAACAATGTGGAATACGTCCGTTTTAGCCACTATGCTCTTCAGGTTCATCACATGATCATAGTGAGCCAAACAATTGTCAACATATAACCTAAGCTCGTTTTCATGAAGGTGTTCTTGGACCGCAGCTCTTAGCTCGCACACTAGGCGATGGTGCTCCTCTAACCATCTCGCATATTCCACGTCAAACATTGCAGCCTCTGAAATTAATTCATTATCAATGCGCATAAATATATAACATACGTATGAACAAATATCATATTGGGTGTTTTTTTTATAAATATAATTCATACAATGTCCAAAAATTGATAATAAAAATTAATCTGGATTTATAGAGTGTAATCTCATACTGGGTATATATAGTTGAGAGAATGTAGAATTAATAAGTATTTTATTTATGTGTAATGGAAAAATCACCTGAGCTAATGCCATTCATAGACATAGGAATCCCTTGCTCCCCTCCAAGAAGTGCATTTCCACCCATTAATATGCCCTAAAATAGAAACACGAATTACTTGATAGTGTTATTGCAGTTTGAAATTGAATTATTGTAATTAACCCATAATAAATCCAAAAACAATAGTTAGAATAAATTTTAATAATATTTTTAAAATATGAATTTGAACTTAACTCAATCTTATAAATTAACTTGAAAGATAAAGATTATTCTCTATTTATATATATTTTATTGATCATATTATTAAATGATATGGGATTTTTAATAAAGTGTATATCTAGTCTAATGTATTTTAGAGAATGATTATTTTTTTTTTGTCAAATTTTTATTATTATTTTAAAATACGTTTCCAAAATAATCTACTTAAAGAATGCACCAAGCCTTTGCCATAAAGAAGTAGTTCTTCCTTACTTGAGATCTAGCACGCTGTAACTCCTGTTCTAGTTGATTAAGCTTAATCCTACTTGACTCTAGCTGTTGAACGTACGCCTGAGAAAGAGAGAAATACAAATAAATTGGTTATTTATATCTCAAACTTTAAATATAAGAGACCCGTTGGCAAGTTTTGCTTAAAATGTGCATAACAACACGTAGTACTTTGACATAAAATAATCTTAATCTTCCACGAAATTAATTCAATGTACCTTTTTCCTGAGTCTGCTTTTCCTTGCTGCCTCTCTATTCTGAGCAAGTCTTCTTAGTGTCTATGCACAACAATTTAATTTTATCAAATCCAAATTATAACATAGAAAAACCAAAAATATATAACATCAAATTAAGAAATTAAATTAATTAGAGTAATCAACCTTAGGATCAGGTGTTTTGGGCGCTTCCTGCTCAGAACTTGACGTTGTTCCTTTGCGGTTGCCCTCTCGCTGATATATACAACACATGCATATTAAACACACATGATTAGTGGGACAAAAATGGAAAATAAAAATTGATTAAATAATGACCAAATTTAATGAAGAAAAAAATTTCCTTTGGTAATTTTGAAGTAAAATAATTCTAAAGAAGAATTTTTAAGAAATTACATGTAGATTTGTGTACACATAACTTAATAGAAACCCCACATTTCATGATATTACCACATCTAAATTATTTGTGTATGTACCTTCACAGCTTTGGGTGGTTCAGGTGCAGAGGGGGCTTCAGTGTGTGGGTTGGGCTTGGCCAAGGATGGCTCTGGTGGTCTCTTGGAGCCACTGGTTTGTGTAGAGGGAATTTCCATGCTAACCTACCAAAACATTAATATATTAAATTGTTATTTAAGTATTAGAAGCTAGCTAACACATGGGCTAATCTGAACTATATAGTATATATTAACAATATTAATCGATTGAGAGTGTGATAAGACTATTATTGTTATTATTACTATACCTTGGAATTGGATGGTGGCACTGCGTGCATAGGCTGAGATGGGAAAATGTTGAGCGTTGGTGGTGGCCTCATTCCTGACGATGTGTTCTCTGCCCAAATGCATTCAGCACCATCAATAATATGAATATATATATATATATATATATATGATCATGAAAGAAATTAATTAACAAATATATGCATATGATCACAGAAAAATATTGTGAGAAATGAAAAATATACAACAGACTAAAGAGGTATGGGAAATTGTCATGCATTTGTAGCTCTGGCAGAAGAAGGAGAGTGGAAAAAGTAAAAGGCAGAAAGCAACCATGTAACCTTTTTCAGTACATGTGAAGAACATGAATAAAATCAAGAAAGACTAAAGTGGGTTAGTGAGAAAGAGAGAGAGAGAGAGAGAGAGGATCAAATTTTCATTTTTTCTGCCACTCTCATGTTTTTCTTTTATTTTTTTCGGTTTTTTACTTCTGTGCAAGGATCTGGTCAAACAAAAGTACTATACGGCAGATAAGATATGAATCTTCTGAAACATGCTTTTGTTGTGACCCAATAAACAACCCATGCCTTAGAGAATCTTTCAAACTGAAATGAAAAAAGAAAAGTGCCCCTCTTTCTGAATTTGAAGAAGAAGATCGTTGAAAGCAAAAAAGAAGTTTTTTTTTTTTTTGTTTTTTTTTCTTGGGTCTTTATGTGTGAGTGCTTAGAGCGAGAGAGAGAGAGAAAGCTCACGTCTTTGGTCTTGAACACTAGAAGGGTCAGCTTGTCCATCAAGATACAAAAAAAAGGCTTGATCCAATTCCCCCAAATCATATGCTCCAGAATCTTTGCTTCTGTTGTCATAATTAAAAAAAAAAATTAATAAAAATAAATAATATTATAATATATAATTGGTGTTAACTTCGTTCTCACAAGTAATTTCCGGGGATAGAGGGTGATGATGAGGAAGATGGCATCATTCCAAAAGAAATTTGTTGGTCTGGTATTTGATGATGATGATGATGAAAATGATGTTGTGGTTGTTGTTGATGAAGATGTGGGGGTGGGGGGAGTGGTTCAAGTTGAGTTGTTGAGTTGGTGCTCTTAACACTTGAAGCCATGATCAAAGGGGATGAACCTAAAAGCTTTGTCTCTTGCTCTTGTTGTTGTTGGTCTTCTTCTTCCTCTTCTATTCTAATTCAATACCTATCTTGAATCCCATTCATTAATGGTGAAACCGCCTTGTGTTTTTTCCACATGAAACCATTTTGCTTTGTCCACCCAAAGAGATGATAGAGAGAGAATAAGGGATAGAGAGTCGGTTATAATAAACTTTGGGATCGAATAGCTGGAGAGTGGTAATGAAGAGAGGAAATGGAATTGAATGCTAGGAAACAAAAGACAAAGCTTCTTTTCTCTCTTCTTTAGCTCTCTTGCATCTTTTTCTCTCTCAACTTTCTCACTATTGCAATTTTATTCGGACAAAGCGGTTCTCCAAGGATATCTTCTTCAACTCTCTCTCTCTCTAGAAAAACTATTTAAGAAAGAGAAGAAGTGTGTTTATTATTATTATTATTATTATTTTAATGAATAGGAGTGTGTTTTTATTTAGAATACAATATTAGCGCGTACTAATTTCAGTTGAATTCTCCAAAATATCATTGAAATGTTACTTAAACTTGATTTCAAGTAAATTTTAACTTATACAATTTTAGGTTAAGGAATTGACTTTAAAATTAAAATTAATTGTGAATTGAAAAGCTTTTAGTAATTTTGTATTGACTAAAAAAATTTTATACTTATTTATATGACCCATTTATATAAATGATTCAATTTATATTAATTGTCTCACGAATTCATTATTTTTAGAATAAAATATTTTTATTTAAAATATGTTTTATTTATTTAATAAAATATATTAATTATAAATTTTTTAAAGGGTATGTATTCAAATTATCTTCTTTACATAACCAGACTCTAAAAATTAAGAAAAATATTAATTAGGAAGAAGAGTAATATAATGATAATTTTATAAAAATATATATAAATAAGACAGATTTATTATTACTAATTGATTAATTATTTTTTTAATTTTGATAAATTATATAATGCATAATATAATTAGACAAATTAGTCTTTGACTCAAAATTGTATATATTATGTCCATGAAAAAAATAGGGTCTTGTATATATAGAAATAATATGAAACTTAGTTTTTTTTAATAAAAACATTGAAACATAAATTATGTTACTTTAAAATGAATGTTAATAAAAATCAGTTTTACACTTGTTTTAAATATAATTTTTCTTTTTTATCATACTGTATATTATATGTATGATTTTTCTTTTTTCCCTAGAGAGTATATATTCAATGGAACTTAACAAAAAATATTGTATAGAAAAACCACTTTTGAGTTGAGGCGGAGATTATGTGAAATGGAAAACGGGCAATGGCTTTCTTGGGCAGCCCTCGTATGCTATTGGTGTGAAATGACGAGAAAGTCTTCAATTGTGTTCAACTTTTACTATTGACGTTTCCATGCAAACTTACACGTAGTTTCTTGAGGCACCTCTGTCCATTGGATCATAACTTAGCCAATTTTGTTTTTGATACATTTATTTTGGCTTGCTCTTGTTTTTTTGACTTGCCTCTCTCTTTTTTTCTCAAATTTTTCAATGTTTTGGCATTTAATTCTTGTGTTCTCTCTTTTTAAGAATATTTTTTTTATAATCATAACTTGGCTAATTGCGTGAACTTTTTTACCTCGCAATCCCTTCTTCACTTGGAGAGGTAATTAACATATATTCGCCGACCTTAATGATTTCGACGCAGATATATATTAAATTATATTCAGATGTCGTCTAAATTAAGTCATTGAATAAATACCAGATTGGAAAACTCCCTTTGAGTTGAGGAGGAGAAAAATAATTTTCAAAAATAATAATTTCTCACAAGTTGAATCTTATAAGTCGTTTTTCAGATTGAGGAATATCTATAGAATAATTTCAGTCATAAGAACTAACTTGCAGTCGTAAGTTATCTCTTTACATGTTTTCTTTTATTATTATTTTTCACTGAAAATAATACTTTAATTCTAACATTTTTCTTCTTAACTTGGATAAAATTGACCTTTAAAATAAATAAATATCTTGGAATATCACAACTTCATAATTTTACAACAAAATTTCAAAGCCCAGATCATACGCTTTCTGTTTCCTAGTTCCACAACTTCACAGATGACAGTGATCGCCTACTACTTGAAGACTACTATGCGAATGTCAATGAGAAATTACATAAAATATTCCTATAGAAGAAGCCCCCGTTTTTCTTTTTCCACCAAATCATAAGAAAATGTAAGTTCAAATATTGTTCTTGGAAAATCAGGTTTAGTTATATATTTAAGTCGTTTAATTTTTTAATACTAAATTATCTTTCTATTATTTTAAAAAACATATACAACCCCTCCCAACCACCAAAGTCAATACCTCTTATAATTCTTAATCAATGAAACTTATTTACAACTTTGTTGAATTAGTTGCAATTGTAGACAGGGCTCTTTAAAATATCCAACATTTATCTGTTAATTTGATTTATATATTTTTTAATTAATTAGTCAACATAAACTCAACAATAAAAATGGGGCGGCGGATACGGAAACACGTGCATCAGAGTATTGACTGATGATAAATCATTGGGTGCAAACTATGGTTAAAATATTCTCACATGATCGAACATTAAGTTTTATGTTTTATATATTTTTAAAATATTTTTAATTATCAAATGCTTTCGATTTATATTAGTGATGAGAGTTAAAATAATATAGATTAAAATATTTTAATTGTAAATTTTAGTGTTATTATTTTAATTCTAACAGATTAAAAAAATGCATTTAATATTCAAAAACGTTTTATAAATATGCAATCAAATGTTTTATATGAGTGTCCAAATTCTCCTTTAAAGAACTTTGATACAAGAGGCTTACTACGTTATCATAGTAACAAATGAAAAAAAAAATACAATGAACTTCCAAATCTTTTATGGTAAGTCCAAAGTTTGCTTAGTTTTGTTTAAAGTTTTGTGCCCATTTAATATATATTCAAACCTTAAACAAATTTTCATTGATACGCTATAATTAAATTGATGCGTTATAATTATAATATCCATGTATTTAATGAAAAGATAGTGTGTCTAATGTTAAAGTACAACTTTTAATCAAAACAAATGCGAACAATGAGACAAGTAAAAAAGAAAGAATTAAAGAGGAATGATTAGAAAAGTAGTATCGGCAACAAAAAGTGGTAGTGCCTTTTTGGTGAAGAAGAAAGAACTGATCGATATTGTTGTCCTCAAGTAAAAAAAACAAGTCATCGCAGATATAACGTGAATACCTCATGCATTGAATGAGAAATTAAAACAAGAAGAACAAGAATCAAAGCATCCTTAATGAATATCTCATAGGATACTATAAATACAAGTTTCGAACATCATTCGAAAAAGACGTAAGAGATTCAACTTGTAAAAACCTTGTAACAACTCTTTCTCATCTTCTTCTAATACTTTTTCATATTCTTCCGTTGGACGAAAAGTTGTAAAGCTTAAAAGTTTCATCATTTGATTAGAAAAGTTATCTTTATATTGTGATTGAAACCTTAGGAGCTAACTAAATGACTTTGGCTTCTCCTTTAAGTTCCTCCTTAGATCTTTGAGTATAGAGACCTCTGGTTTCACCTTAGGAGGTGAAGAATTCTCTTCAAGTAGTCTCACTTCAAGGAAGAAGATGAATCAGTTTAACTCTCACCACACTCTTAGAGAAAGGATAAGAGAATTAGAACTAAATCAAAGACAATTTAAGACTTTTGAGGGAGAAAACTCTGAGAAAATCTCGGCTATCTCATAGACAAATTATCAAAAGTGATTTTTACAAGTCAAACAACCTATATATAGTGGTGAAGTAGCTTGTAGTACAAGTTAGACAAGGTAGGGACAAAGTAGGGACACTTAATTAGATCTAGATTAGTCAATGATAGAGTGTCAAGTGTCAGCTTGTCTCTTAGGGAGATAAGGAGGAGACACCTAGATTTAGAAGAACCAATCAATAGGTATGAAGTGTCACCTTTTCTCTTTAGGTAACCAAGAGATAAGTGTATTGGAAAAGCCAGTGAAATTTTTGGCCAAGTAGTGAGCTAGGCAACTAGGGATGGCAACGGGCGGGGCGAGTACGGGTTTCATGATACCCTTCCCCGTCCCCGCAAGTTAAACTCATCCCCATCCCCGTCCCCATACCCGTCGGGTATAGATTTTCATCCCCATCCCCGTCTCCGTCGGGTATCGGGTATACCCGTACCCGTCAATTTTTTTATTTTTTATTTTTTGTAAAAAAATGATATTTTAAAAAAAAAATTATTATATTATAATTATAATTAAGTTATTTCTTTATCTCATATTATAATAAATAATCACACATAAAAAATATTATTTTTTTAATATAATTAAATTGGAAGTGAATATTAAATTAAAAATGAGAATGGGGACGGGTACGGGTACGGGGCGGGTAAGTACATACTCGTACTCGTACCCGTACCCGATTTAATATATCGAGTTTTACCCGTACCCGTACCCGTACCCGGTCAAATCGGGTATTCCCCGTCAAAGTCGGGACGGGTTCGGGTATTACCCGCGGGTACGGGTATATTTGCCATCCCTATAGGCAGCTAAGGCTTGTTTTTTCTTCATCCAATCCAATCCAAAATCTGGAAATTGGTTTAGTTAGGTTTATCAAATGATGGTGAGACTTAACTAAATCAATTCATCAGAAAAAAATGGAGGAAAACAAGTTCAATATGTAAATTTTGGCCTAGGCCCACTAAAGGCCCACTTTCTAACTTCACCTACACATTTGCTATTTGCTACCTCACTAATAATACTAAAAATATGAAAAACCATGACCCTTAATACAAGGTTAAATGGAGTAAAAGTCTCCAAGTAACATACCCTAAAATCCTAAGGGTATGACCTACAAAGAAATATAAAGGTTCCTTACAAATACAAAGGCAAAAATACACATATACAAGTATCTACTATGTATAAAGTACTATACAAGGTATATACAATAGAGACTAAGGAATTAATAAGAGGAATCATACTCAATGTTCATGTAAAGTATAGGTCTAAGAAACACCTCCTCTGTACGTAGAAGCTTCCTCTAGCCTCCTAACCATGGGCCTTGTTAAAGGCTCAATGGTTTTTATGTGTGAACTCCCTATGGATGGCATGGTCTTGATGTGTGAGCTCTCTATGAATGGTCCTCCATCATATTGTGTTTCACTTTCACATTCTCACATTGTGAGTTGACTTGTTGTAACAAATTTTTATCTCATTTTGAAAGCATGAAAAAGATTAGAGAAGAAAGAATGATTAAAAAATAAAGTTGAGATAAATTTACATGTGTCAAAAATGGCCTTGAAAATACTTGTGTAACCAGAAGTAGCATAGAGAATACT